TATATATATATATATATTTATACTGTATGCCTATTATAAGACTATAATATAAAACTATTTCTGGCATTTTATATCACTTAATTAAATTCAATTAAATCATTCAATTAAATGTGAAAATGTGACGAAGAATGGAAAACATTTAATTTTCACCGTAACTTGAACCCAAAACCAAGAGTCTCCTGTAAAACGACTATAAATGCCATGAGTCTATATCCTTTTTAAGTCAGTTAATTTTTAGTTTATAGCGATTAAGTGATCAAAGCAAAAATGTTTTATACATAATTATCTCATTGCTATAATGAGAAGTAAATGTTTTTGCATATCTCATTGCTATAATGAGAAGTAAAGTGGAAATTGCAACAAAAAAGTATAAAGTTGCTGTAGGCAAATAGTGTCTAGGGATAGGGATATTATTATTATTGTTACAATCCATCAAATTTTCACTGTCGGCATTGTATATCACTTAATTAAATTCAATTAAATCATTCATTAAGGAATGTGACGAAGAATGGAAAACATTTAATTTTCCCCGTAACTTGAAGCCAGAACCACGAATTAGAGTCTACTGTAAAACGACTATAATGCCATGTGCATCAGCTTTGGGAACAGTCTCATTATATATTAAAAGCGTGCGCGGCAAATGAATTTGGTTAGAACATAGAGTTATTTATGAAGAGATATTATGGGTTTTCTAGTTAAAAGGGAACTCAATGGCCCTGCATCCTAAGATCGAAATCACCGTATGGAAATGGCCTTTTAATGGCCACTTTAATGTATACATTTGAAGGGTCTCTACCTTTAGTGTTTTCCTTCATGATTACATTCTCCAGCATTCTTTAGCCCTTCAAATACAGATATCAATATTGTAAATACAAATGGTACTAGTCTTAGTTGAGAACAACGCATATGCCTTATGTTTGTACACCCTATTTCTAATATTTGTCATTTATGTCGTATAACTATTCTTTTGTTCTGGAAAATACGAGAGCAAATTTGTATTGCCTAGGCCTATTAGTGGGTAATACAAGAAACACATGTTGTCCTTTCGAATGGTAAAGTTTGATAATAGTTCGCCAGTATTTAAGGTGGAGTTTAAACATGACAAACGGCACCGCATTTTAACCTTACTAGACTTCACTCTCTAATTCGCTCATTTATTTCGTTAACAATAAAAAAATATATATAATAGCCTATCTTAATAAGAATATTATATATTTCTAATTTCGCTGATTATGACTCATTAATGGAAACATTATTTTATGTGAAAGCATTGAGTGGCGGGAAATGAAAATAATGATAATATTAACAATAATAATAATAATAATAATAATAATAATAATAATAATAATAATAATAATAATAATAATAGTTATAATTATAATACATAGACTTAATTTGTAGGTTTTTAAACAGAACATAGGGCCTTTCCTCATTGCTATAATGACAAGTGATGTTGAAATTTACAAAGTCTAGCGTAAAATAACACACGAAAAACCGAAACACATTAAAAGCAACTCGACGTCAGGAAATCTCAAACTATGACGGCTAATAATATTCAAAATATGTAAAATGATGTCATAATTTGATATGTCTTTGCTTGGACAATGTTTGAAGAAGATCCAGGCACGGAAGGTGACCAAAGCCGGTCATAAAAACTCAGTGTAAAAAACTAGGAAAACGGAATTGAAGAAGAAAACAATTAGAAGAAAACAAAGGTTATTTAAAAAAAAAAAGTGAAAAAAAAAAACACAGGGAAAATAACTCGACGTTAGTAAGACAACTACCTAGAATTAAATCTGGAAATGGTAATAGCGACGGTAAAATAGAGACTCATCATAGCCACTGCGCGCTATATGGATGAGTCTATACCCTTTTTAAGTCAGTTAATTTTTATTTTATAGCGATTTAAGTGATCAAAGCAAAAATGTTTTATGCATAATTATTTCATTGCTATAATGAGAAGTAAATGTTTTTGCATATCCCATTGCTATAATGAGAAGTAAAGTGGAAATCGCAACAAAACAGTATAAAGTTGCTGTAGGCAAATAGTGTCTAGGAATAGAGATATTATTGTTACAATCCATTAAATTTTCAATGTCGACTACACTAACACTCGACCGACAACCTAAGATTTTGGCCCACCCTACTAAATAGGCTACGCCGTATCTTTGCTTTCATCCACAAGCAGCGACCACGCTTCGAGATTCGCTCGCGAAAGAAAAGTCAAGCATGCATACCGTAAATTCTCGCGGCGCTTATAAATTTTTTGGCGGCTTTAGTGCGGCGCTTATTCAAGAGCGGCGCTTATTCGATAGCGGCGCTTATAAAAAAAAATATTGGTTACCTATTTCACGTTTTCCCGTAGTTCAGTAGGCCTATCATAGGTCCTATCATCGTAAACAAACGTTTATAAGAAATGGTTGTCTTCATTGTGTTATTTAATAATAATAATAATAATAATAATAATAATAATAATAATAATAATAACAATAATAATAACAATAACAATAACAACAACAATAATAATAATAATAATAATAATAATAATAATAATAATAATAATAATAATAATAATAATAATAATAATAATAATAATAATAATAATAATAATAATAATAATAATGATGCGAAAAAAATCTCGTGATTCGGTTGATTTATCCAAACGCCATCGGTATTATCACCATTATTATATACCTTGATTGCATATACAGCAAGAAACATGAGTTTACATCCTGAATAAAGGGCAGTTGTTTTTTTTTACATTCACATAGATTCCATACGGTAGATCATCGTTAGTAATCGTTTATGTTCATAAATTCAGTATTACCACAACATAGTTACCAACCTGAGAGATTTGAAATGCGTGAGTGTCTATACCAGTTGGCTGGGGGTCCAAGCGGTAGGGGAAACACCCCACCCCCGCCGCTTCGACGATCTGAGCATTTTTAAGCTGTTTTAAAACGATTTCAGGGAGTGTTTGTTGATAATACAGGTACATAAGCAAAAATATTATTAATAAAGCCAACTTGAGTTTCAATGTAGGCCTATGTTTAATTTGAGCACCAGAACTATGTAGACCTACACAAACATTTCATTACTGATCAATTTTAGTAACTCGTTAGTGAAATAAGTAGGGCCTACAAGGAAATACTGTACTCTCTCATGATTCAAGTTACTGCATCACCGTTATTATAGTTTTAATACCACCAATTTCTTTTAATTTTAAATACATTTTCCCCTGATAAGATAGTATAATACATAGGCCTACTCCAAGTACCGAAATGCACGCCATCGTGTCGGGATTCAATATTTCGACATTAATTATGTCATCATCAGGAATGATGATTATTGGCTAGATGGGGACGTAAATAATAATAACGTACTGTGTATTCAGTACGTTAACACAGGGTAAATAATCACTCCTATGATATTTCCTGAGGCAAACTCACATCTTAATAGAATTTGTGGTAACTTCCATCTGTCTAGATAATCTGGAGGTCGTGTGTTCGATTCCCACACAAACCATGTTTTTAAATTATTTTTCTATTGGCTAGTAATTGTGGAAGTCTAATTTGAATATTTTTATACCTATTTTTTAACATGATTTTAAAAAATAAATCGGACTTAAAGAAATATTCATTCATAATAATTATTTTTGAATATTTAATAAGAACATATCATTTCCCTAGGCAAACTCGCATCTTAATAGCATTTGTTGTGGTTTTCATCTCACTAGATAACCAGAAGGTCGTGGTTTCGATTCCACCCGAATCATTATTTTTTTCTTTTTTAAATTTTATTAATGGCTAGTATTTGGGGACGTACTGAGAATTCGGTACGATAAAACGTCAGGTAGGGCAAACAATCACTACTATGATATTTCCTGACGTCGCAAACTCACATCTTAATAGCATTTGTAGTAATTCCATCTGTCTAGATAATCTGGAGGTCGTGTGTTCGATTCCCACACGAACCATTTTTTTTTTTCACAATTTTTCTATTGGCTATTTATTGGGGATATCTAATTTGGATATTTTTATAATCTATTTTTTAACATGATTTAAAAAAATAAACGGACTTAAAACAATATTCATTCATAATAATTATTTTGAATATTTAATAAGAACATAAAATATTTATTAATAACATTTATTTTGAAGTTTTTCTTTTACTTTTGACACCATCACCATGCGTAATATCGTAATTTCCATCTGGCTAGATAATCTGGAGGTCGTGTGTTCGATTCCCACACGAACCATTAAAAAAATTCTATTGGCTAGTAATTGGGATATCTAATTTGAATATTTTCAAATCCTGATTATGACATAATTAATGTCGAAATATTGAATCCCGACACGATGGCGTGCATTTCGATACTTGGAGTATGTATTATACTATCTTATCTGAGATTAATCAGTGGACCTTTCGGTTTTTTCCCCTGAATTTGTGATAAATCGTTATCACGAATAGACTTGTGTTAAATGCGTGACAAATTTAGGTTTCTGCAAAATGCGTGTTTAATCCAAAATCACTTTGAAATGCAGGACCGTCCTGCACGATGCGAGACGGTTGGAAATGCCACAACGCAAATTAGAGTTTATCGCGCTACATATCCTTATTTACTTTTAAAAGTGTTTCTAGCCCTGTTTTTCTGTCATTTAAATTCTTACCCGGTAAAAGCTTATTGCAGTATATTTCTGTTCTACATGAGTTAGTCAAGAACCGATTCTATTTATGTGCCTAAAAATACTGAGTTAAAAGAATTGCTTCGGATCGAACTCGAATTAACCACACACGAAGCCGCAGTTGAATAGTTAAGCGTCGGTAGAGAACCAATTTTGTATCCAGACACACCGATTCCCTTTTACAATTTACTTTGAGCATACGTTACCTCAAAAAACAATTTAAAGCTTATCTCTTTACGTATCATTAGTGTAATAGGCCTAGGCCCTAAGTGTAATTTTCGGAGATTTTGTTGTTTAAAATATAAGTGTGCGTATTACATTCATTACTCGGCGTGCCTCATAAAAATAAAGAGAGTTAAATGAATACATTTTCCCCTAATCACCCTTCCATTACAATACCTGGGCCTATAAAGTTATATTAATTTATTATTTTGCGAGGTTCGAATACTGACTTATGCTGGTAGGCCTACTCGATTAACGTACATACATGTCGATTAAATCTACTTACTGTACAACAGTGAATTTATACCACCATCATTCAGTTTAAAGCCACTACATTATGCAATCAAAAACACTTAATAAATGATGAAAATGTAGGCTTATGGAAATTAATTTTTAATTATAAGGTTATCGTAATTAAATCATCGGGGCAGTCCATTTTGCTGCTGGTGATCCTGGTGATAATTTTAATGCGCATGTGTGCATATTTAAACATAAACTAATGTGATTATGTAAATAGGCATATACACATGAAATGAAGTTTTGGACTGGCACTTTAAATCTGTCCATTATGCTTAGCCAGTGATAGGATTTTTATGTAACATCCATTTATTCCCTCATGGTTTCCGTTGTTCGCTGTATGTGTTTGTCTCTCTATCTGTTTACACCTTGTTGTCTACACTTGTTTTCTGTGACGCAATCGTCCAACTCAATTTATCACAATTCATTTCTCTGTTATTTGTATTGAGCATTGTTTGTCACCATATTCGAGTCTATTAAATACGTGTCGCCTGTAACGCTGTTCTGCTATGTCCATAGGCCTATTCACAAGATAATAGAATCGGATGAAAATGAGCAAGATTTTAATTTTATTTGTACTATGCTTACTTATTTTTTCAACAGTTACATCATGACCAGCTGCGGTAAGTTACAAACATTCGTATAATTATTTGAGTTGGTGTCTTAAATAAGACGTGAATGGGTTTTGTGGTAAACAATTTTTAGTAAAACACATTGGGTTTTGATTTTCACTTTTCGACTTTATAGTCACTTCAGTTTTATTATATTTCACATGTAAATCACATTTTTACCGAAAATTTACAATGACAAACCAGTTTTCCGCATACTAGCTATTTTACTCATTAAAAAGTAATACAGTATCATAAGTAAATGAAGAACAAATAAATGTACTAATAAATAGCGTAATGTCGCAAATTACGATGCCTGCACCAATAAAACAGCAATAAATGAAAATTTAAAAAATATAAAAAAAGAAAAAATACCTAATTATAATACAACTAGATTACATCATCATCAAATAGCTGTAAGTTTACACCATGGCATTTGCTATTTTTTTTTTATCGATATAGTATTAGCATAAATTGTATTAAAACAATATAAATTATATCATAATGCCGGTTTTCCACAATGAGTGTCTCCAATCGAAATACGTCATCAATTTAGTTATAACAATATAACTTTCCATAAAAAAGTTATTTTATTGTAAATGTATGTTAATGCGACAGCACATCGACAATGGCAATGATAGTTTTAATAATAATATGATTATAATATATATAAACAGTAATAATGATAATAATATTATTATTAATAATAATATAATAATAGGCCTAATAATAATGTAAAATAATAATAATAATAATAATAATAATAATAACATGAATAATATAAACAATAATAATATTATATTTATCATATTAGTATCATTGTCGACATCATCATCGCTATAAAGCATTCCGATATTATTTTTTCTTTTTTTAGCATGGTGGGAATTTTTTACTTTTGGTACTTTGTTTTCTTTTCAATTTATGTATATTATGTATTTCAGTTTATGTACGGTACAGTGCTTAGAGGTATTACGACATTAGACCTTTTAAATCTAGGATATTATTATTATTATTATTATTATTTTTATTATTATTATTATTATTATTATTATTATTAATATTAATATTATTATTATTATTATTATTATTATTATTATTATTATTATTTTATTATTTTATCATCTTAAAAACCACCATCGTCACTCACAACATTGTCATCATTTTCATAATCGCAATCACCAGCATAATCATCATTATCATTGTCAACATCATCGTCATCATGGCACCATCATCACCGCCAAACTTATCATAATCACCATCCTCATCATCGTCATAAATACTTATCATTATAATCATCATCATCAGCACCCTCATTACCATCGACATTATCAACATCATTATGTCATCACCATCTTCATCATCATAATCAGAATCATCACCTACGATCATCAGTGTCATCATCATCATCATCATCACCATTCTTATCATCATAATCATCGACATCATCACCACCACCACCATTGTTATCTGGTATGCTTTGCGCACTCTGGAACATCGGCACCGATCTTTTTTGACTATCATTTGCATTAGTATGGCCAGTAAACCTGTTTATTTCACCGTCCTACCGTATTTTATCTCAACCTTGGTATCCGACAATTTATGACGTAGCCCGATGAATTAAAACATAGTCAATCACTGAAAGAATAATGGGATGTTGAAAACTATGCAGCACGGCACAGCATGTTTGGTTGCACATTAGGCCTAAATAAAGGTAATAGTGAAACAGATTAATTAATGGGTTTATTAAGCAAAAGTGATGAAAGATATAATTCGTAAACAATATGATTATGATGAAGTGATGGCTGGCACTCTACTAAAAGATTAAAGAGGTAAAAGGATTAATAATTGATACTAATTCCAAAATAAAGATTACTATTTAAGCAATACTGCTTTTTTTTTAAAATATTGAAATGCAATATTGAAGGCAGGAACTGATAGTATCCAATTTTCCACACGTACGGTACCATACATAATGCAACCTTGAGATATGCTTTTGTTTCATGATTTTATTGTTTTTGCATTTTAAATTACTTTCTGTTTGTGGTGTTCATTATTATACAAATGCAATCACTCAGGCTAATTATGTATATATATATATATATACACATTATTGTGGGGACGATATTAATTTTTTTTTTTTAAAGTCAAGTTGACGTATTTTTGGAACATCATTTATTTAACACGAATGTTTCGTCGACTTATGTGGACTTCATTCTATTTCGTCCACAGCAGTGGACGAAATATTCTTGTTAAATAAATTATGTTCCCAAAATACGTCAACTTTTTTTTTTTTTTTCATTGTCATCGCCTTCACAATTATATTTGTTATAGAACAACGCCCTACATCATTTCACAATGATACATCTTTATACACATTATATAATATAAAGTTAGTAAAATGAAGAAAACCACGGTTGACATTTAAGGATATAAACATATGTTGATGACTTAAAAGTCGATTCAAATAAGTATGGCACATAACTGATACAGTCTGGCTCGTTAAATTCGAAACATATTATATAAATTTACATAATGTATATATATTTACAACTTTATATTGTTTACGGTATATAGGTCCTATATATACATAATATAATATAAAGTTGGTAATATATATATATATATATATATATATATATATATATAC